CTCAAAAAAAGAGAAAAAATCTAAAGATAAAAAGGATAAATCTGCCATTGAAAATAAAAACCAGCCACAGACGTTGAATGGAAAGGGAAAAGATAAAAGCAGCAATGCATCACCTAAACGTGGTAATAGATCCACATCTCCGCCTTTATCACTTGTCAATGGCAAAGAGGATTCTCTGGAAATGCGACCGCCACCTGGATTCGGCAATCAGTCTGTATGCGCGCAACCACCACCTGGTTTTCAATCAACCGATGTAACAGTTAATTCTATAGCTAAATCACCTAACAACTTAACATTTACCAACTCCTTCGGAGAGCGATATAGCATTGTGCGCACACATCCATATATACAACCAATAGATGCAGCCATTCGCAATCAGGTAATAATTGATGTCACGTCTTACCATCTACAGCAAATATGTTCGAAAAACCATGACAAGCAGGTTTGGGAAATTCTGTGAGCGATTTCTTCTACACCATAGGTGGGCAGGGGCAGGAGCTTAGCTAGATAATCAGTTGAATCGCTAATGGCCTTGGAAGACTGGATGAAAGCAACACGTCTTCCTGGCCTTTTTGTGCCTAGATAATGAAGATAATACTTTCATTTAAGCAGTACAAATCGCTAAGTGTAGACGACTTGTGACCGGTGCTTTCCTAGGAAGGACACGATCTTACCTTCGGCGGTAAGCCCATGCCAAGTTCTTTCCTAAACTAGGCAAAATATATCAAACTCTATCAAAATCCCCAAGGCGATTGAGAAAATCATAAACAGTCATATTATTTGGCTTACCGATACGGGAAGGGATGAGCGATGGTAGGTCCGCAACGGAAAATGCCCCATGAGTAAGGAGGTAGAGTCTCTTATGTCTTACATTGACATCACACATCAGTATCGGCTTTCTATTAGATGACGGATAATGAATGTCTTTCATATCCATCTTCAGCGGTCTCTGGCGGCTTCCATAAATCTTTTGTAAAAGGTGGAGTATATATACGGACCTATTCCTACACCAATGACAAAACTTATCGCCTGACGTACAAGAGAAACCGGTTTGTCTCCAACAAAATTTGATGAGGGATAACGGTAATACCTTTCAAAACATCAACCGAAAAGAAAATTATTAAAGATACAGTGATCTTAAGAAGACTGGAGAAGAAAGTTAAAACCAAGATTCCCACCCCTAACTTTCTAATTTTCCTTATATACATATATATAAAATAGTACCCTGAAATGCCAGCTTAATAGGGTCGAGCCCCCCCTCCCCCCCCCTCCCTTTAAATTTCATTCTGCCTACGCCGATGCTAGGCAGCATTGCAGCTTAAAACCAGGAATTTTAGAAAATACCCTAATACATTCTGTACTATTTTATTATCGCTAGACGATTAGCTTTCAGGTTTTAATAAACCTAAGTGCGCATCCTCCATTATATCTATGTAATATTTAATTTAATTTAAATGCATCTCAAACTGTATTATTCTAGAAACTAGTTTCCCACTTTCAAGATGCCTTAAAGTCGCCCGAAGCCATGGAAGAATTTCGACACATATCGCAAAAATTCAGGGAAGGTGTCTACAAGACCCTGCCTTACTACGAGCATTGTCAGGCTGCACTAAAGGAAAAATTTGATGACATATTCCCTGAGTTATTAACGCTTTTACCAGACATTAATAAACAACAAGTAAGCGTTGTAAATTAATTATAACGTAGGGAGCAGTTGTAGTAATTGCATTTTTCTCTTCAGGAATTATGTCTGGTGCACTCGCAATACTTGAACAAACTTTCGCCTGACAAGAGGAAACAAGTACAGAAATTAGATGTATGCGCGTTATGTAAACAAGTGTTGTTGCCCAGCGATGCGGAAAGCCACCGAAAGCAGCATGAAGTTAAAGAAAACTTTCCTATGCTTGGTAATGACAGTGGCAGCAGTCTCGCCAAGTCTGCTGCAGCTGCGAATACAAATCAACGTAAGTAGCTTAAACGTCGCTAAGTTAACATAGTGGAATATAACAAAATCAAATGTGACACACAATTTTAAGCTGCAATCAACAAAAGTACGCCAATATGTGCATTATGAATTTCCATTAAATTTGCTATATCACTTTAAATAATAAAACAACGATACCAAACATGCATAACAGCACTCGGGGCTCCTATTTATGCGCTCTTTTTCGTGCAACATTAATCTCTTAAGCTATCGACAGTGTGGTCCAATGCATGGCATTCAACTGAAAAATCATCAGAATGATTAGAGATAAATCATTGCACAAAAAATAATAGTTTTTGTGATTAACTAAGTATTGAATTATGTAGTTTAAAATGCATAGCGAAAATACTATGGTAAAGAAATGTAATGTAATTTAAAGCAATAGCCCCTCTAATTTTTAATGTCTGTAGAAATTTAATTTGATTAAAGCAATTGCCCTATACTACATACATACATGCATGTACATACGTAAAATAGTTAAAATGTAAAAAAAAAATAGCTCGATATAATAAAATGAGTGGAGATTACTTAAGAACAAATAAAATATGCATATACATATGTAATTATAATAATAATAGATTGGCGCTTACCTATATGTTAGGATTTGGCCGAGCTTCTCCTCCGATTTGTGGCATACGCCTTGATGTTTTCACACAAAGGGGAGGGACCTACAGTTTTATGCCGACTCTGAATGGCGATTGAATTTTTATGAGAAGCTGTTTTTCATGGCAGGAATACACTCGGGGGATTTGCCATTGATTGCCTGTTTTTTGACATTGGTCGGAAACCGGGCTTGAACGTAGGCCCTGTGGAATGGTAGTGCGCACTGCAAACCACTACACCGCAGCGGCCGCCAAAGATATGTAGATCAGATAAGGATATGATATGATATGTTAAAGGTAGTGTGCAGAAAATTGCATTGTCTACACTGATCTTCCCTGAGATGTGAAAAATCGATATAATCATTCCGCTTCGTAAACAAGGTAGCCTTGGGGTAAAATCACTGACTATATCACCGCACTTTAAAACTTCTTCATAGCTGCCATCTCTGCTAAAAAATATACCGCCACACTCTTCATCCTATGGACCGAGGGGATTAGGCTAGAACTCGACGCGTACGGCGATGGCGCCAAATTCCGACGGTGAAGCACCTCAAAGGCTGGGTGACTCCCAGCTTCTTCTACACCTACTCCGTCACTTGCAATAACTACCTGCCAGGAAGTCGCTAGCCCTGTTGAGCCGACAAAGAAACCCTGTTAGCAACTTACACGACGATGGGCCTTTCAGTGGCTAACTATGCTGTGGCAGTGTGGTCAGCTGGATTGCGACGTCTGCAAATATGCCAGAACATAGCTTTACATACGACTAAAGACTGTTATCTCATTTGCTGATGCTGAAGCAACACAACATACTGTTATCACCCCGAAAACGTTCTGCTTCGAAATCCTAATCCTAATTCGAATCCTAAGCTAACTCTCTCACTCAGAACTCCGAACTCAGAAGTGGCAAAAGTCTGGCCGACACACAACTCTCAATACCTCCAACTCGACGGCCCTTACACTGAAAGAATTTTCACTACACCTATCGACGTCCGCTTTTCTACGACAGCCGGTTCTACGTACCGGAATAACTCTGATTTTACTCGATCAAGGGCTGTTGTTTCGGCGATCTAACCCTGTTTAGGTCGATGAAATCTCTTAAACGTTGTTCGTACATAAGGCAATAGCTGCTCCGCATTCTACTGCTCAGGGCTGGCATCGAGTCAAACCCTGGACCAGAAACCCAAACCTGCTACGTATGCCAGAAACGATCACACCCAATCTCCATCTCAGTCATGCGCAGTTCGACACCAAGTCACCTCAGAACTTGCTCAGGTCTTAGAC